CCCACATTTTTAAAAACTATCTTGGACTTTTCCCTTTTTAACAAAATTTTTTTTTTTTTTTTTTTTTTTTTTTTTTTTTTTTTTTTTAGATTTTTCTTTTATTTTTTGCACCTAATCGTGTACATTTTCTACAAGCCCTTGCAGTTAGAGATGCTTTGAGAAATGAGTGAGTGATGGGGATAATTTTTGTGCTTCAACAACCTTTTTTCAAACACTGTGACCCTATAGCGCTTTGTAGGGTCAACTGTACATTCAGGCTGTTAGGCTATTTATACCAGTTTTGATCAATTCTAATGTGATTTTAAAATCTTGTTTAACTGCAGACCTGCGTAATATGGACTGCCCTCTCTCACACACAGTGTGTGACATTGCCTCATCTATATAAATATTTAATAATCAATCATGAGATAATGGCTTCTTAAGGGTTATTAATAGTTGCAGTAAATTAATAATTGCAATAGAGGATTGCATATTGGCAAAGTTTCGACATCTCAGAAATTAAGATATGAACAGCTGTTATTTTTGAAAGAATCTTATAAAATAAGATGATAAAACAGTGAATTGTAATCTCTAAAGGAAATTTGCTTTTTAGTTTTATCTTGAGGTGCTTTTCTCCACTAATCTAGAAGATTTTACTTTTATTTAAAGGTTTTTGAAGAGCTCACTATATTTGGGCTATGTTTGAGAAATCATTGGTTCATTTTTATTTTATTACAGTTTTTTCTGTGATATTTTGATTCACTGAAATTGGTATCTGCAGGTCAGCGGTTTACGTGATCGGAAATTGGCAAACATAAGATTGGCTTATCTCCGCATAAGACAAACTTGTCTGGATGATGCATCATTAATTTAATTGGGTATTTAAATTGGATCCAGCAAAGGAGAGACTCAGTTTGTTACTTGTGGAAAATTAGACTATTTTGTATAAGATCTCTGTTTCCTACAAAGCCTGTAAGACGGCTGCTTAATTTGGCTTCCATTCCAAAAACTTGTAGATGTAAAACATGTTTACTCAGCAGCAGTTGACTGGAACTGAAACTTTTCAGCAGTTTGATTTGACCCCTTAGCTACGGTGCATTCACTGACTGAATAAAATTAGATTTTTGAATAGCAAATTTGACTCATCAGTCAAACTGAAATTCATCTGATTCTGGTCAACAGGCAATCGGTGCAATTCCTTCACCGCTCAAAATTCCCTCCTGACTGAAAGCTTGTAATTTTACATGTCTCTTTCTTGATGAGACAAACTGTCAAATGCAAACTTTCTTATTTTTTTTTGTTCTGAAATATATATTTTTTTTAATCTTTGTGTGACTGCAGCATCTTTACTTGCTGTAGTCTTTTTTTTTTTTTTTTTTTTTAATCTTGTTTTGTTGGCTGGAGCTGCAGGGTCTAAATGTGATGCTGTTCTCTGGATTTGGCTGCCCACACAATGACCACCTTCTTCAGCTCAACGACCGCTTTTAGAAGCAGCCGCGATGCCAAGACGGACACACACACATGCGCGTCGCCTATTTGAAGACCTTTCCAGATGCAGTCTTTTCAGTTCTCCTCAAGTTCCCTCTTGCAGTGCAGTCAACATTAACTAGCTCCACCCACTGACAGCCCTTCAGCAGCTCCCTCTCTTGATCTCACACAGTTAACCCGGCGTGTGCATCAGCAGAAGCCTGTGTGTCTTTTTAAAGGAGGTTTTCCATTCAACTGAAGATCCAGATGTTCGTCCCTCCCCTCCCTTCCTGTTCGCAGCTCTGCCGACTTCCCTCTTTCCTCTTCCCCTTCTTGTTGTTGGGGTTCTGAGTCTGTTGCCATGAAGACAGCCACATGGGTGTATTGTTCCTGTTTGTCTTGCAGGTGCAAACCCTCTACTACTCACCTGACCATAAGCTGTTGGATGGAGGGCTGGTGATTGATGGGCACAGTGAGGTGTTTGGTGGCGAGGACGACCACCTTCAGTTTGTTCAGGTATTCAACTGCTTGGTGATGGCTTCACTGTAATTAGGAAGCCTCTGAAGCATAACTCGGCAGTTCAGCACTTAGTTTAGCAACTTGTGTTTGACTTTAGTTGTTCTACGTCCCGTCCCATTCTTGGCTTAGATCTGGTGTGTTTAACACCAAAAAATCAGCTTACTATGTCCGCTGCTGTCAGCTGAGCGTCGATTGCTATTTTTTTTTTTTTTGCCAGTAAACTTGGCAGAGACTTGATTTAAAAATTTGGCAACATGTCGGTGCTTGGCTTGTTAAAATGACCGTAGATTGGCCAGCCAGATCAAAGCGTTGGTTTGGGATGCTGTTAGCTTTCGGTTTTGGCCACTGGCAGGTCTGTGGTGCAAGCTCGGCTTCTGTAGCTGCGTTGTGCTCTTGCAGAAGAAACCAGTGCGTGAGAGTGCCCAGAGACAGCAGAGCTGCAGCTCTTCAGGAAGCCTCTCGCCCTCCAACCAAGCAGCCAATGTCCAAAAACCAACCACCAGGAGAGACTGGAAGTACATCGCCTCGGAGAAGACCACAAGTAAGTGTTTATGGATTGATGTACGTTAGTTTTGTTGCCTGAAGTGGAATTTAAATTAACTACTTTTTTTTTTCTTCCCGTCTCCCTAGACAGCAACTATCTTTGTCTGGCTGTGCTGGACGGAGTGCTGAGTGTGATCTTCCTGCATGGTCGCAACAGTCCCCAGACGTCTCCGACGGCAACGCCCTGCCTGATGAAGAGTCTCAGTTTTGAGGCCCAGCCAGAGGAACTGGAAGAGCACCCGCTCTCTCCCATGCATTACGCTCGCTCCGGCCTGGGTACTGCAGCCCTGAACGGGAGACTCATCGCAGCAGGTAAGCTTTAAATGTATCCAATTAATTTACCTCCTAAAAGTATTCACACCTTGCAGGGTGTCTGGATTGCAAAAATATCTTAAGCGTTAAATTCAAATATCTAAAATTAACCGCTTAAGATGCCTTAAATTCATTGAAAAAATAGGTTGACCTGGAATATGTTAGTCACACATCAGTTTGAGTCCTGCGCAGACATCTTTACTGCACCATGTGACTCAAGGAGTTTGCGCCTAGCTGCTAATATTCCTGCTAGCTAGCTTTTTTTTTTTTCTTCTTTACGTCCTTAAGTGCAAAAACACAAAATTTTCCCAAGTATTTTGGGTCTAGTTTGTAGTACAAATATCTTATTAAACTTGGAATAAGACAAAACTAATTTACAAGCAACTTTTCAGTACAATATGGGAGCTTGTTCTCAGTAATTCCTTACTATCGATTATAAAAACAAGACATTTTTCCCATGTTATAAGTAAAATAATCAATGGAACTAGTACTTTTTCATTACATTGTGGAATTATTGACAACCTCCTATTTCCTGCTGAAAAGTTACTTATAAGTTGGTTTTTGTCTTATTTCAGGTTGTACTAAGATATTCACACTAGAAAATAGACCAAATATACTTTGTAAGCTTTAGTGTTTTTTGCAGTGCATTGTGTGTGTGTGTGTGTGTGAGAGAGATGAAATGCTTTCCCAGATATTGAGTTTTGTGGTCCTGCAGGGGGCTACAACAGAGAGGAGTGTCTGAGGACTGTGGAGTGCTACAACCCCAACGAGGACTGCTGGACCTTCATGGCGCCCATGCGGACTCCCAGGGCTCGGTTCCAGATGGCTGTGCTGATGGTTGGTCTAACCGCTCGCTCTTATCTCACTTTATCGTTTAGTCTACAATAAAGTGGCATTTTGAATATTGACCAAGTGCGCTTGTACCTGTTAGGACTCGTTCCACTTGTCTTTGGTAAACAGTAAAGTATTTAACAACTCCTTGTTCAAATAACTGGGCTCCTTAATTGGTCCCTGCAGTTTAGAATGTGTTAATTTCTTGTTTTGTGTCCTGGCTGCCTCCCTCAGGGTCAGCTGTATGTTATCGGGGGTTCCAATGGACATTCTGATGAGCTGAGCAGTGGGGAGATGTACGATCCACAAACTGATGAGTGGGTTCAAGTGCCAGAGCTGAGGACAAACCGCTGCAATGCAGGTCAGCCCGCTGTACCGGGGATCATTACCTTTTCATAAGAACAACACCTCATTAACATTTTAAACTCGATTTACTGGCTGGTCTGACTCTCCGCTGTGTCCTCTCCAAAGGTGTCTGCTCCTTGAACAACAAGCTTTATGTTGTCGGAGGGTCGGACCCCTGCGGGCAGAAGGGCCTGAAGAACTGTGACGTTTTTGACCCTGTGGCAAAAACCTGGTCTAACTGTGCCTCCCTTAACATCAGTATGTATCTGTTCAGTTCCACAGTCGTACATCTGTCAAATACAGTGCACCAAGGGTTAGCATCATGGGCGCTGAAAGCCCGCCCATTAGGCCAGATACAGTATTGGCATGCAGAATTTGCATATATGATACTTGAAATACAGCATTCTACCATAACTAATGCAATTTGCGTGCTTTGAATATATCATGCTGAGATAAATGCAACCAATGTCGGCATATTTGGAAATGTAAAGATAAAAAAAACAAAAAAACAAAAGAAGCTGCACTGAAGCTGCATTGTGTTAAATTTCATAGGATAATGCAGGCAGCTGAAAAAATCAGACTCTGCACTGAAGCTGCATTGGTAACAACAGCAATTTTGTTTCCAGGGAGACACCAGGCCGCAGTGTGCGAGTTGGATGGCTTCATGTACGTGATTGGAGGAGCAGAGTCGTGGAACTGCCTGAACACCGTAGAGCGCTACAACCCTGACAACAACACCTGGACTCTGGTGGCCCCCATGAACGTGGCCCGCAGGGGAGCCGCTGTGGCCGTACACGCAGGTGAGCCCGACCACAAACCACAGAGTTTTAATGGGATTTTATTTCATAGACAACATGGTAAAATGAAGCGAATTGGAAGTTAAAAGGCGTATGGAGGTGTGGAGTGCATTTGTGTTCAGCCTCTTTCCTCTGAGGATCTTTGTGAAGCGGGAAAAAACAATGGTGGTGGCAGAACATTTGGTCAGAATTGATTTAAAGTCTCAAGAAGCAGGATATTGACTCTGGACTTAGTCATATCAAATGATTTAGGTCCAAGCAAATTCACAGGTTAGAATGGCCTAGTCAAAGTCCAACTCTAAATCCAATTCAGAATCTGATTCTCTGAGCTTGAACTGTTTTGCAGAAAATAAAAAAAAAAACCCAAAAAAAAAACTTTCAAGAGATGGTATTTTGTGCAGACCACAATTTTTTATTTTTCTCTTAAATGTCCTTTTAGGGGCTCCATATTTCCCCATCAATGCTGTTTATATTTAAAAAAAATATTCTTGGCATGATCCTGCTCCCACCATGTTGGGGATATGACACTAGTCATATTCAGGCAAATACAAATGTACACCACACTTTTCAGATTTTTATTTGTAAAAATATTAAAATCAGACGTGGATTTTCCTTCTGCTTCACAATTGCGCTCTGTTCTGTTTGTCACATAAAGTCCCAATGACATACTTAGAAATGTTCCTCTTTTTTTTTTTCCCTTCAGGTTTCCATTCCTGAACTTGTTCATTTTGAAGAAATTTACTGAAACGCATATTGTTTACTTGCTGATGTTTGCCTCTACGCAGGCAAGCTGTTTGTCGTGGGTGGCTTCGACGGCTCCCACGCGCTCCGCTGCGTCGAGGTGTACGATCCTGCCCGCAACGACTGGCGGATGCTCGGCAGCATGATCTCCTCCCGCAGCAACGCCGGCGTGGCCATGCTGGGCGAAACCATCTACGTCGTGGGCGGCTTCGACGGAAACGAGTTCCTCAGTACGGTGGAGGTGTACAACCCCGAAACGGATGAGTGGAACGACTGCACCAAAGCCCCATCTCCCCTCTCTGAGTGAAGGGAGAGGGGATGGGGAGGGAAGAACGGGGGAAACAGGGTTCTGGAGTTTCACAGTGCTTCACTCATTTCCAAACTAACAGGCTTAGTGACGTAATCGTGTTTCGTGATGTTTTCGTGTATGAACAGGTATACGTGGGTGGGGATGTTGAGGTGAGGAGTCTTCAGTGAAGACTGGCTTAATCTTAGCAGGTCGGGGAGGGGGGAGGCAATTTACTGAGAATCCTTTTGTGTTTTAAAGTGTCAGGCATTTGCTGCCCAAAGCAACGTTGACGCCTTCTTTTGTTTTTGCATATTGCATAGATTTTGGTTTTGTCTTGTATATATTTTGTTTCTTCCTCAAATTTTTTTTTGTCGTATGCCAACATTTACTACACTTAGTGCTTTTCATTTCTTTAAGCTAGTTGCATGGAGGGTTTTTAGATGAGTTTTTACTATTTGACCACCTGGAAAGGTGCCAGTTTGAAGTGATAATAATTTGAGTTCAGAAAATGTATAAAGTTTATTTAAGAAAATTTCTGTTGTGGAAATGTCTTTCTTTTTTCCCAAAATATTTAAAGGTCAGTGGTTTGAAGCCTTACTCAGTGTGAGTTGCTAAACACCCGTCAAAGCTTTCTGTCATTTTAAATAAACCGGATTGTTTTTTGACTCTTAAAATGATGGCCTTTTTTATATTTTTATACACTGCTGATTTACCAGTAACATAGATGTAGTAGCAGAGAGCTTACATGAATCTAACCAGTGCCAGATTTAGTTGACCTTTTTTGTGCACATGCCAGAAATGCACAACCATGCTTCTGCTAACAATTTTTTTTAATGTGATTTTTAACTAGTTGATATACGTAGAGCTGCAATTTACTGAGAATCCTTTTGTGTTTTAAAGTGTCAGGCATTGGCAGATTTTTCTGGAAGGAATGTTGGTGCAAGAAATTTCACATTTGTAACATTTCTTAATTAATAAATCGTATAAGTCTAATTTTTGTTTTCAGTCTGCTTTGTTCTTGTTGGTAAATAACTGATCCATTTCTTTAAAAAAAAAAAAAGCTTATAGTTGAATCTCTGATAAAAATCCTCCTGAGATCTCAACAGTGTTGATCCAGTCAAACATACTGATTGGAAAATGCAAGGGAGTGTGTAGTATTTTGTGAAATGGATTCTGACTATCCTGCAGACTAGAACCTTTTTCATTCCGTAATTTGAATTCTGAACAGAAATATTGCATGTGGGGTTCCTCAAGGCTGTATTCCTGGGCCACTTTTATTCAGTCATTTACACTATCAGCATAGCTCAGACATGGAATAATACACTCTTACAACGTGGTGGTTAGATTATTGTAAAGCTGTTCTAAAAACAATTGTGTAAAATGCTGCTTCTACAGTCCTGATCAACACCAGGCAGTTGCATCATATCAAAGCCTCTCAGCTCTGATACAAACTCTAAGCAGAAAATGTTGCCTCTTATTGATAACTGGAAACATTTATATTAATCATAAATTCATAGTTAACTTAGTAGATAAAATGTATGCAAAGTTATTGAAGCTTGACATAAAATGTGTAGAAAATCACTTTTCTAAAGTATAAAACAACTTTTAATTAGTCTTTGAATCTTTAATAAATTATCAGTAGCTGATTTTGTGAGTCCAGTTTTAGCTCTCACTGCATCGTCCTCCAATTACTGTGTCATGGCCTCTGCCTTTTAACCTTTAACTATTTATATTCTCCCCATGGACTACCATAGTAAACCAGGTTATATTCAGTCCCACTAAGTGTCTTACCAAGGAGATTAGACTCAAGTATTTGAATGGAAAAAAAAGCAGGAAGGCACAACCAGAGTGGCTGTGGGTTGTGAAACAGGGCTGGATGAGTAGGCTCCTTTTTTATGACCCCAGACATCTGAGGCTGCCTGCCAGAACCAGTTAAATCCCTCCCTCTGTGCTCATTCACAAGTCGATGTCAGATAATCTGCTGATCCACCTGACGGCTGCAAATGTGTCATGTGCAGGAGAAAGTAGGGACGGAATCCTGAATCCGGTCATCGTTACTGTCTGACCATTAAAACACGTTTTTTTTCAAAAAATACTTTAATTCAATTAGCATATTAAGAAAGTTTTTGCATAAGTTTTATGAAACATTCGATTCATTAGTCTGTCTTTCAAATTCGAAGCACTCGAAACGAAACGTGAGTACACATTTGTGGCTAAGCTAACCAGATAACAGATTCACAAATGATTTACAATAGATTTGAAACGACAGATAAAGCTGTCTAGGAAATGATGTCAAACTCTGTAGAAGATTAACATTACCATTTAAAACTCCTCGTGTTTACATGTTGTGGGTCTGTTATTGTTTAATCATATTCCTGATGACATAAACATTTAAATACAACCAGTAATAAAAGTTAATGGAGTTGTTCAAGTCAATTTCTAGAATGGATTTTCCAGGTTTTTTCCTTCCACTAACCTTTCAAACAATATCTTTAAATATAGCACTCTGTGGCCCGCTAAAATCTCAAGCAATGAATTTTTGCGGCTTGCCTTCCTTGTGTAGCGTGACGACTGACTATCAAGTCAGCAGTCATAACTTTACATAAGATGATTAAAATTGAATAGCTTTCTTTGGTCTTATTTTTCTGAGAAGCTGAGTTTTTCTCCAGAAAAATGTTTAACCTGAACTATGTCTGTTCATTGTCCAACTGTGCTGAGATTTTACGAAGACCCAAAGTTCTGATCATTATTGGCTCTCCTTACCAGTGACCCTAAACCCCGCTCTACCTTTGCCTTTGTCTGGATGACGTCTCCTCGTGTAGCAACTCTTCACTGTAACAGCCGGTGTAATCTCAGCCTGTCTGCTGCCGTCACCTGGGTTTAATCCATTTAATCATTCCACACGCATGCAGCCGCATGAGGCTGTGCACAGAGAATCACACGTTACATGAACTGTAACAGACAGAAAAGCTTCAACTTGAGCAAAGAAATCAGGCAAAGTGATTTTAGGAGTGTAAGATTTAATTTACAAGAGCAAAAGACTCGTACACACATGTTTTTTTAAATTTGGCACAAAGAATTTATAAAACTTGCAAATCTACAACATAAACTTATTCAGCTATCTCTACCATCTGTAAGGCAAAAATCACATCAGTAATTTCAAGCTTTAAAATGACAAACCAGATGTTAGTTTTGGGCTTCTCAGCATTTTAAACCAGCAGACCCTTAATGGAAGTAGTATGAAACGGAAAAAGTGTTTTAAAGCACCAGCTTTGCAGGGTCCGCAGCGGCGTTAATGCCTATCTCTAATAACTGAGATAGGCATAGGCAAGTCGCCAGTCCATCATGGGGGTGGAAGATATGCAGCGCTTTGCAAAAGCATTAATAGCCCTTAAGCCACAAGCGTCAGGAAATGTTATTTATTATTTGTGGTATGTAAATGTTAAATGGTTACAACTGTTCAATTCATCATCAAAAATGGCAAAGCAGCCAAGAGGCCCTTGGTGATTCTGGAGGAGCTGGAGAAATCTAAAGCTCAGGTGGGAAAATGTGTCAACGGGACGACTACTGGCCATACATGCCAAGAATTTGACCTTTATGGAAGACTGACGGCAGGAGAGCAATAAGGCTCCCGTCATAAAGAAGGCACTTTGATCAGCTGAACCTGGAACATTAAAAAAACACTGATATGTTAAAGGTCCAACATTCAGGAGATTATTCAAAGCTTTTTCTATTGCTTTGGAAGAAACAAAGCAACAACTGCATAGAATGAGTTTTGTGTCAGTGCAGTTTGATTTTAAATAAGGCCCAACAATAAATACAATAAAAAAAATTACAAGTAAGCGACAACACTAGTAAAACAAAAACAAAAGCTTCACAGCGTGGCTTCATCACACATTCATTTGGTTCAAGAATACCAGTAAATATCTACCTGAGAGGTAAAATTTGACATTTTCGCTAAAACATAAAAGAAATATTGTGATTACATACTAGAAAAATACACACAGATACAAACATAACATGCAAATGTTCTTTCATTCTCTAGTTTGAATGACAGAACACTTGCATTTTGAACTGACCACAAACTGGAGAACAACTTCACATATTACAGAATTAAAAACAAAAAAACAAAATAAACTTCAACAAACATCTTTAGACAAGAAAACAAAACAGTTTCTGTTACAGTGAAGGTGTTTATAGATTAAAAGTGTTGAAAAATGGTAAAAAAAAAAACTGAAATGCCGTCAACTAAAAGGTTTTAATCGAAGGAACAGGTTAGGTTTTTACAGGCAGCCGGTGGTTGATGTTAATGGGACCCTGAGTTTCATCAGCACGGTGCGGTGAAGGCAAAGTTCTGCCCTGTGGTCTGAACACAACCATCCAAGGCCTTTTTTAGCTCCAATAACTGGTTTCCTCCAACTCCAAGTTTCTCCCTGGGAACAGACGAGACGTTAGGCTGATAGGAAACAAAGAAATGGACGAAGTCTGGAGCAAACAGAGGAAGAAAGCTCTGATCTGATGTTTACATGCAGTTTTCTGAAAACCCCACATGACCTGGGTCTTACAGAGAATTACTATTTGCTTCCATTTTGTTGTTTTGTTTACAATCTAGTCCTTATTATAACCTGACCACTGCATTTTTCCCCCTCAGCAAAAACAAAACAAAACAAAAAAAAACATCTCACGATGTTCCAGCTAGCCCTCTGTTTTGATTCCTCATGCCAAGGCTTGAATGTTTCGCTCACAATTAGATTTTATTTACCCACATGTTGCTTTATGGCAACAGCTTCCAAAAGCGAGTTGGAGCGCATGAAATTAACTGCAGATATTTTCCACCACATGGTTGGAAAATATCGGAGGGGTAAACCGCATTATGCCCATGAAGTCAATCCTGAGGTTTTTCTCTAATTTGAATGTAAGAACATTTACATTAAATTGGACAACCTTGTTTAATTCTAACTAAATTGGTTGAATAGATACGTGAACAGAAACGGGGGTAATTCCTTTCTTTTCAAAGTTATGGATGAACAGATTTTATAACATAGATGACCAGATGGTATAGTTCATATGTTTATTTATATAGATGGTTACGGCTCTTCCTCCAGACTCTGGGAAGTCAATTTCCAAATTAAATGCAAAATACTTACTTTTATCTAAGTTTTTTTTTTTTTTAACCATTCCTCTTCAGGCTTTGGTGATTCGCTGTTACTTTTGCACTTTTTAAGCCACAATTTCTCCTTTCACTTAATTTTCCCTTAATGAGATTGGATACAGCACTTTTTTTTTTAATCAAAATGTTCAGCAATGACCTTTTCTGGCTTACCCTTCTTTTAGGGTTGTCTGCAAAACAACTGAGTAATCACCAGTCCAGTGCTGATTGTTCTGTTTCAAAAGGCCACACTCATCAAATCACCAGAAGTAAATGCCTC